TACCAAACCCGCAGAGCTAAAACCACTCCGGGGGCCCAACGGCCTCTAGCCTCTCCCCGTCGCTGAGCGCAATCCTAAGACGTATCCCTTTCCTTTGAAACTACCGAACCCGCGGAGCTTCAACCACTCTGGGGCCAATTACCGAGCCAAACCCGCGGAGCTTCAACAACTCCGGGGTCAATTGTCGGAGTCCTCTAGCGAGGACTTAAGCGGAGCTGAGCCTGGAAAACTGTCCAGCCTACACCACGACCATCTTCGGTGCAAGTAAACAATCTTTAAATTACCATTACGAGTTCGTGCCTGATTCTAGCGTGTCGCCTGTTCTCTCCAACCCAACATGCCCGGGCTGCTGGCCACAGCCCGCGCAGAGCACAAAAAAAGGCCCGGCTCACACACCTGCTTCCAGGCTGCCCCATCTGTCCAATGAATCAAAAATGCAGCTGCATCAAGAGCATGCCACAGCCAATCTTGATGATGTGGTGGTACTCACAAGTAGCAGGAAGGAACATCTCCACTGGGTCTGGGCAGTGCTACAGTCACTTCAGGCTGCAGGCCTAATAGTGACCCTGGCAAAATGCAGACTTAGCTGTTCAGAGAAGTAAACACTAGGCACATGATTGATTAAACCCCTCATTAACAAAGTAACAGTTTTAGCAGAGTCCCTTGTACCCAAAACAAGAAAGCAGCTAAAGTTCTTCCTGGGATTTAAGAGTTACTGTCCACGCTTTATCCCCTGTTCCCAGCAATTACTTCCCCACTAACAGACAAGCTAAGCATGACAGTACCCAAAATAATGCAGCACTCTCCAACACAGGTTGATCAACCTTCAGAGAAATAAGACAGATACTGTGCACTACACACCCTGGTATAGCATGGTCAGGACTTGAGTTGCAAATTTATTTTACAGATTGATGTCTCAGGGCAAGGCCAGGAGCCACAGACAACTTCTCTCAAGAAGGAGGGGAACTAGATACAGAAGAGTGGATTTCAGACCCACTCTTGGTGGGGAAGATGTGTAACAGGGTGGTCTGTCCCTTTAAAGAGGAAGTCAGCCCTGTTAAAGCCCAGCTGTGCTGCTATTTGGGTAAGCAGGGTATGTCCCACAGGGAACTTTAAAGCAATAAAGCAATTGCTTTAAAGCAATTCCTCAATCAAGCAAGCTGTGAAGGGAACAGTTTGCTGTAGGAAGGGGCCAAGCTGCTGTGGTAGGGGGAATCCCCTCCTAGTGTCTGGGCATGGACAGTTGGATTTTGTTTTGTTTAAAGTTGAACTTTGCTTTGAAGAACTGGCTGAGGAGTCCATAAAGGAGCAAGTTCTCCTACAAAAGCCAGGAGGGCTAAGGGACATGCTTATAAGTCAACCCCAAAGAGCATGTTCCTAAGAAAATATCCACCTAGGGAAGGGGAAAAAAAATAAAACACTGTAGTTTAAGTCTCAAAAAAAACACTCCCATTTTGTTCTAGATTCTTAATTGTTAACTTCTATTCTTGTTTAACTAAGTCAGGGGTGAATGTATATCAAGACTTCGTGCTCTTTCCCCAGTCTCATCCTAAAAGAAAAGCTATTAAAAATTAAGATTTTTCTTTGCTTGACTTTTGCTCCCTTTGCTCCACAGAGCAATCAAGTTCTCCATGAAATAACTTTACTTTAATCCAGAGGTAGATTACGACAGTTTAATAGTGTAGTAGGCATGAATTCAGATTGCCTCTTTCACAGCAAGGCATTTACTAAGAAATGTCCAGTCAACATTTATTTCTTGTATCCTTTCCATATTTTCACAGGGAAAACAGCATAACATCACCTCTAAAAACTAAATAAAGCTCTTCTTTTGTGAGCACAGTGACTCTGAAGCTTACCTTTCTATAATACAATGCCAAATACAAACTATATCCCTTCTACCAGACAACAGAATTGAAATTAATTTTCTCAAAGGCCAGAAGCTCCAAATTATCTCATCTAGTTTAAACTCATGCTATAAAGTTCAACACTAGACAGTCTCAGGGAAACAAGTTATTGTGGGTGAAAAAGCTAAGTACCATCTCACAAAAGAGAAAAAGTAAAAAATAAATCACAGCAAAAGATTAAATAAGCAGAATGCTCCCAAGATCTGAACTAGAAAAAATGTAATTTAATGTAGGACAGTGATCTGGCAAGATGGTTCAGCAATAATCATTGCAAAATTGGTAGAAGACAGAATTAAAGTTTAACAATGCCAAAGGAACTTCAAAAAAACCTAATGAAGCTGACTGAATGAGCAACACAAAAATTGGCACATTAAATCCAATTTGGACAAATGCAAGGTAATGAACCAGTCATCACATATTACTGCTTTGATAATGAACAAAAGGAGTAACTGGGTCACACACATTGCCAAGTTCTAAATTAATGAATCAGTGATAAAAAACAAAAAACAGAAAACCTGGCATCATTTTAACATTCAACAGTGGTGAGGAGAGGAAGCTAATGTTTGGATTAGAGGTGTAACTAATATTTTTGGCACCCTGGGGAGACATGCCAGAAAGTGTGTTTGTGTTTTAGGGGCTGGGGGAGAGAATGACTCAAACCTGACTGAAGATTCAAAGACTCTGGGTACTGCTATTGCTAAGCAGGCACCACCTCTAAACCAGAACCAAGAGCTGGTTACATTGTGATTCAAACCAGTAGCATAATTATGGAACAGAAAATTCTGAAACCATGACAATGCCAATACAGAAAAAAATCAACATTATGTCCTCATTTAAATTCCACGCCCAGTTCTATGTCATGTTATCTATAAGGCATGATAATTCCTGTCATGTAAAATGAGCATTATTCTATATCAAAAGCTCTCATCAATGTTTCTCCTGTCTCATCCCAGAGATGCTGAGAAGACAATCTTTAAAGTAGAGATTTACAAGTTTTAAAATGGGGTGCAATTTCAAGACCATTGCCGGTCAAGTTGTATCAATTTACGGTCTCTGGTGAGATGGAAGAAAGCTTTTGTGATGGTAATCTGGGTGTAGAGACAAGAGGAGAAAACAGTCTACTTCAAACATCTTTACAATAGAAGAATGGACTAGGAGGAATCTCAGTATGCCCCAGGCAAAAAGATGGCAAGCTTGCCCGTTCCTCTTACAACTGCTTTTATTTAATTTGGAAAATTTCTGAGGATTTCTGTTATATGTGGCACTAAACAAACTTTTCCTATAAAACCCTCCTAGAAACACCAAGCAAGTACGGGTCCTAAAAAGATAAGGTCAATGCTCATTTCTACTGAGACAGATTTGGTAATAAATATACTTCTGCTTGAGAAGGCTAACTAGGGAAAAAGTCCCTGAATAGAACTAAATCAGTTACTACAGAGGGAGGGAAGATTTACACTTTTTTCCATAGATGGAGAGAGATGTTTCGTATAAAGCAGGCTTACAAGTGGAGAAGAATGGAACTGAAACCATACAAACAATTCTAACTTTTCATCAGCAAGATAAATTACAGGGAAGAAACTTTCATTGTATCGCAGGGGCCTAAACAAGTGCAACCTCCTAATTTGACCCCAATCCTTCAGTACAGGACAGAGTCAAGACAACTAGCCATGGTGGTTGGTTCAAGGGAAGTGTGGTGAACAAGGTATTCCATGGTCTCCTTTACACAGTTACTAAAAACTAGCATTTAATTCTGCTAAAAGTTGGCACCTCAGCATGAACAAGCCGAGTCAATAAGGCTGGGTGTGAAAGTTTTTTCTTCTGATCAGTCATGACCTGCCCATGGACAAATATCAACACGGTGAGCATAGTATAGTCTATTCTGGTTGCAGTAATATCTCACAAAAAATTCTTCTTAACTCTAAGTCCTTGGCATCTACTTACCCAGATTGGCACGAACAAAGAATGTCAAATGATTTTTATTCATGAAATGTATTTTAGAGTTTAAAATTAATATACTCTATTTTCTACAATGTCTTATTTTAGTATATCTGGCAGGATTACTAAATTGTTGAAAGGACTCCTTTTGCAAAAAGTCATTATCCCCTCCACTGGAGAAAGTACACACTCTTCAAACTTTGTTTTCTCACCAGTTCATGTCACTAGCTTTAAGAGGTAAGTGATCTACTTTAGAAATGAGTTAGCTCAAGAAGGAAAGATCTAAAATCTGATTAGCTATAATTTTCTGCCACTATAATTTTATTACAAGAAGCAAAGATTTTATTTACCTTCTCCCTCTGTATTTGCAGTAATGTGGATGTACAAACATACTTTTAACATGATTCTTTAAGATGTTCCAACATGATTTTTTTTAATTGAATAATGATTACTATTAAAATTTAAAATCACTACTGCAAAGTTATGGTTATGGTGGATTCTACAAGCTTTAGTACTGTAGAACATACTGACATGTTTAATCACAGCAATATAAATGCATAAAGAAAAATGAAAATGTTCACTTAACTCCCGAGTGATTCAAATACTGTTTAAGGCTAATTATGTTTCAAAAAAATTAAAACAATTTAAGTTCTCTGTTTTTGTTACTTTAGGATTTACTTTAGGTTTATCTCCCTTCCACACACATCTCAGTGTTAAATGGATGTGCTAAATCAACGTAAGTTTTCACATGATTAAGATTTGTTCAAGGACACTGAAATCAACTACAGAACTCTAACTCTTAAGGTGTGTATAGAAGACTACAACTACCAGCAGAACCTTTTGTTTTTCCTCTGTAAAAGCAGTAGAAGTGCCCCTTTTCAGCTGATTATCTCTCCAAGCAAGTAGCAGCACATAGATTGTTGGATAGAAGGTGACGCTCCATTTCCATAAAGGCCTGACTAGTTTTCAAAGTATGAACTATTGAGCAATGGGGATGCTACTACACTATTTTTGGCATAAGGAGTAGCACTAAATATTTTGCTGAAAAGTTGATAAAAAAAAGTCTTTCCAGATAGCCAGCTCTGTTAATGTTTAGAGGCCCAGAAGTTAAACTTAATGGAAGCCTTCATGTATTTCATGTATCTGCTTTTAAATACTTACAGTGAAAAATACGGAAATCAATGTATGGATGAGAACCTCTTCTCTCTGTTTCAAATCCTGCCCGACTTCTTACTCGCACATCTCCTAGAAACAGGGTCAAGAGTGAAATAAAAGTGTGGAAGAGTGGCAGAGATAAAATGCAATTGAACATAACTGCAAAGGGGTAAAGATTCATGTATTTAATGGAGTAGGATTATTCATACAATATGCCTATTTCAATGCTTTTTATTTTAGAGGTGAAGTTTAAAACAAAGTTTGAAGACTTGTTAAACATGCAACTGCATGCTTTTTGTCAAATTCTTTCCTGCCTAAGCAAATGTGGCCAAAAGCATGTGGTAAGCATTCAGATGAAATTAAGAACAGTTGGCTACACCATTTTAATGATAAAAATGAACCTAAATATGACAGGAAACAAGAACATTAAAACTTGATTTGTCCCTCAACACACAGAAAAACAACAACATTTTATAGTACAAAAGATTCTAGAAATGGTAGCTTTTAGCAAATAAGATATTTACAGTATGTTCTCATATTAGATAATAGAACATTGTCTCACTAGTATTTACTTACTTGTGCTCAGCTGTTTGAATATTACACAAGAGCCTATTAAAATACCAAAACTCAGTATTAAAATTTTGGAGCATAGAACTATTTTCTACTTCAGCTATAACAATCAACTTTAAGCTGAATCTCTTAACATAATACTGATGTCTACATTAACTTTTTACCAACTGAAAGCTATTCGTGTTCATTTACTAATTCTTAGTACATGTTAATTATTTAATTAAAATACACTTACAATTAAAAATCCTTTCGGTCTTATAAACTGAGGCAATTGCTTGAGGATCAATTGTAACAGTAACACAGTATTATGTTGGTCTCAAGTCTTAACACAATATGAAAATGCTGGAAAATTCTCAGAAAACCTATTTATCAAACTCTTACATGCATATCACAACCCTCTCCTCAAAAAGTTATGCAAGTTAAAATTAAGGAACAAACTGAGGGTGCTGAACGGAGAGAACAAAAGACTGGATTGCAAACATTTACGAGGAGTACTGAAATATCTGCAGCTATTTAAGTTCCAGGAACTGCTACCATTCCAGTGTACTGAAACTGTTTCATCCCTCCCCGTCTCTTCTAACTAGTTTATTCATAACAGTCACGCACATCATTAAAACAAACAGCAGACAACTTTTCTCAAGTCAGGATTGTAAGCAGAATCTTATATGAATGGAATCTGGCAAGTACAATGTGCGAGTATCACAAAAATGAGTAGACCTAGCACACAGTGTGCATCATAAATTAGAACATTTCAATGCCACTAAAAACTCAGACTGTACAGCTACTCCTCACTTAACATCGTAGTTATGTTATTGAAAAATGCGACTAAGTGAAACGATGTTAAGCAAATCCAATTACAGGTTTCCCTTGCCAACCCCAGGGGTTAGGTTCCTGAAAGTTCCCATGGTTCGCAAAACCCACAGAGCTGGAGAAGCAGGGGCTGTGGGTGGGGGGTGAGGGGCACCAGCAAGTCTGTGGGAGCTGTAAGAGGTACGAGCAGCACCAGAGGCATCCACCCCCCCTTCTCTGAAGCATGGATACTCAAAACCATGGTTGGCAAGGGTAAACTGTACATCACAGTAGTTACCTACTAGCAGACGGCGGCCAAACAACATTATAACCAAACATCGCACAACTTTAAACAAGTATGTTCTCTAATAGATCGGCGACATAATAACAAAACAATGTTAACTGGGATGAGGTTAAGTGAGGAGGACCTGTATATATTTCCTAGTTCTTCTTTCCTTGAATTTTCAATTCTTTTAAAAGCATGCTTACTGAAAATGATAGCAGGTTTCAGAAAAATGTAAACTAACTTCACATCCAGACATAAATCTAGGGTTACCATACATCTGGGTTTTCCTGGACATATCCTCTCTTCGGATCTTCCCATCTTCACCCGGGTTTTTGTTTGTTTTTTAAATATCAACAAACGTTCGGGATTTTGGTCTGCTCAGCATCCAAGTTTTCCCTGGCACTTACTGGCTTGCCCTAGCAAGGAGTTTCTTGGGGCTGGGGAGAGTGGGGGAGGAGCGATTGGAGGCATGAACATCACATGAGGAGCCCTGGCAGCTGAATGCAGGTAAGTCTATGGGGGGCAGGTAGAGGGCCAGGGCTTGGGGACTGTTTGTGTATGTTTCTGTCAGGAGTGTATGAGGGAGGCAGCTGCCTGCTGGTGGTGTAGGAAGCTGTCTGGGTGCTGGGGCTGCAGCAGAGTGAGGGAGGCGCCTACCCCTCCATTGGGAGAAAGGGCCTGGAAAGCCCTTCAGGGGCAGCAGGGAGCTGCATGGCTGGGCCAGCAGCACCAGGACAGGTGCCCTTGCTCACTGGGATGGGGCAACCGGGAGATGCTGCAGGGCTGGGAGACAGCAGGGGGCTGCAGGTGAGAAGTGAGGAGCACCAGCAGGGTTTGGGGGGGTTGCAGATCAAGAGTGAGGGGTATCAGCAAGGACAGGGTTACCGTGGTTCAGGAGTAAGGGGCAGCAGTAGAGCTGGGGAGGCTGTGGCTTGGGAGTGAGGGACAGGTGCAGGGCATGGGCATATAACTGCCCCCCCCCGCCAATCCTATTACCCACCACCACCACCAGGTTTCTTCTTTTTTTGAAACTGGAAATATGGTAATCCTAATTAATCCTCACCTCTGAGGCAAAAATGCCAGATTGCAAAGCTAACAAATGTTCAAATGCAAAGTAGAGTAAGAAGGTGTTGAGCACAGCCATGTTGGTCTCAGGATATAGGCAGACAAGGTTCTTTGGGTAATTGTGGTATCTTTTATTAGACCAACTAAATAATTGGAAACAGTTGTTTTTTGCAACTTTCAGGCACAAACGCCCTTCTTCAAACACAGCCAGACAACTCTCCCTATGCATGAAGAAGGGTATTTGTGCCTGAAAGCTTACAGACAACAATTTTTTCACCTGTTTAGTTAGCCTAATAAAAGATATCACATTTATTCAACAGAACCTTGTCAAGCAGAGTAAGAAACATTTGTCTTACTTTTCCAGAATATATGAAGGCAACACTGTAGAATTCTTCTGATAGATATAAAGATAGCTGGTAAATGATAGGCTTACTAATGTGACCGTAGTAAAATGCTTTATAGAAGGATTAGTGAGAAAGAGAGAGAGAGAGAGAGAGAGAGAGAGAAGACTATGCATTAATAATATCTGCATATGAAAACAGCAATGAATAAAAATGAAAGTGCTTTCCCCAGTCTCAAAAAGTGGATTGGCCAACTACATTAACAATGTATTGCAAAAAACTATATAAAACGTTTCATAGTTGACCTGAATTACCTTCTCTTTTTTATCTTTTTTAAATTAAATTTAGGTAAATTTAGAAATACATTTTTTCACTGATGGGGAACATTTTAAATTGATGGGGAAATGCAACTTGGGGTCTGCCAACTAAAGCCACATAAGTAGCAGAAACAAATATTTACCTGAGAAGTAATAGCAATCCAGAAAAATATTCCTGACCATGTTCACATTTGGTAGGGTCCAGAGTTTGACATTATAGACGGTCTATTAAAGTACCCCACACTTCTCCCAAAGTGCATACGGTAATGCTTAAAATGGAGAAAAAGTGGTTTAATACCTTTATAGCAATCATACTTTGATGATTTCAAGGGGAGTGGGGTGGTTTTTGCATTCTACCAAACTGGATGATTGTTTAACTGCTAGGCTGATCTTTGAATTTGAAGTTGAGAGAAAGACGACACATCTAAAACTGCGTAACATTCTATAAATCAGAAAGTTTCACAGTGGCAGAGACACTAATGAGAAGAGGTTTCTTCTAGTGGTCTGAGTGAAAACATTTTGTTCTGCAAGCTCACCAGCTGGAATACACCAATAGTGATTCACAAAGACAGTGTGACTGACTGGAAGGATTTATAGATGCTAGGGTTGGAAGGGACCTCAACAGATCATCGAGTCTGACCCCTGCCTAGGCAGGAAAGTGCTGGGATCAGATGACCCCAGCCAGATGCCTATCCAGCCTTCTCTTAAGGACTCCCAAAGTAGGGGAGAGCACCACTTGCCTTGGAAGCCCATTCCAAATTTTGACCACCCTTCCCGTGAAGAAGTTTTTCCTGATATCTAGCCTAAATCTGCTCTCTGTCAGTTTGTGACCATTGTTCCTTGTTACCCCAGGAGGCGCCCTGGTGAACAGAGCATCTCCAATCCCTTGCTGCGTCCCCCTAATGAATCTGTAGGTGACCACGAGATCACCTCTCAGCCTTCTCTTGCAGAGGCTGAAGAGGTCCAGGTCCCTCAGTCTCTCCTCATAGGACTTGTCCTCTAAGCCCCTAACTATACAAGTAGCCCTCCTCTGGACCCTCTCAAGTCTAATCAACATCTATCTTGAAGTACGGTGTCCAAAACTGGACACAGTACTCCAACTGACCAATGCCGCACAGAGGGGGAAGTATCACCTCCTTGGTTCCATCTGTCACGCATCAGCAGATGCATGATAAAGTGCAGTTAGCTTTGCTGATGATTTCGTCACACTGACTACTCACGTTCATCTTGGAGTCCACTATGACTCCGAGATCCCTTTCCGCATCTGTGCTGCTAAGAGGGTCACTTCCCAGCCAGTAGGTGAGCTTGGTATTTTTGTGCCCTAGGTGAAGCATTCTGCACTTGTCCTTGTTGTACTGCACCCTATTGTGTAGTGCCCACTTTTCTAACCTGTCCAGGTCTGCCTGCAATCATTCCCTACCCTCCAGGATGAAAAATATTTTGGGGGAATAATTAGCTGGAAAGAAACAGGGAGCCAACAATGAGCAAGAGACAGTAGTGAGATGAGACAGTGATGAAAAATTGTATCTACAGAACAGAGTTGAAATTTCCCAATTATGGACAAAAAAGTTAAAGTGGAGCAAGATATTTTTTACTGAGCACTTGACAAGGCAAACAACAAGACTCTTCTTGGCTAAGTGAAAGAAAGGGAGGAAATTAATTAAAAACAGGGTATTATTTAGTGAGACACTGGAAAGCAGCAAAGTTTTTAACCTCAAAAGA